TTATAATTTGTGAGTGCTGCCGAGTGCAGGTATCGGCATGAATATGATGAATATTGTACACGTGCAAATAAATGTTGTTGCAAGTGAAAGTTACGAATGCAGTCGATATATTCTAATATCATTCATTTATTCATTTAGGTATATAAACTAATAACGCTTTCATGCATACAATAATTCATTAAAACAGATTCACAACGCAAACTCAGAATGACAATCAAATAGAGTAAGTCATCAATCAATATCAATATGAATAGATAATAAAATAGCGAAATTTAAAACCAACGAACACAAAATCCAAAAAAAAACAACATATAAAAATGAACAACAGCAACAACAACGAAAATGCTTTATGAGAATCAAAACAGTCGAAAGTGAACAGTTGCAATGTTATACCGTATTGCAACATTCATTCGGAATTAATTCATCAATAGGCTAAAAGAGAAGAAATTTTCGAGTAGAAGGACAGGATAAAAAGCATTCGGTGAGAAGTTGATAATCGATGAATTATGATAGTGGCGATAATATGGAAAATTGATCTCGAAACTTTTTTACTATCTCTATAAAGTCTGCAATATTGATGGAATGCTCAATTTTCTAGCAGGTTACTTTTTACGCAAATCGAACATTTTGGTGTTTTTTGAACATAATTCGTCTAATCGAAAATGTAGGAGAAAGAAATTGGAAGCTGAACTATCATCGAATTTCATTAAGAGAACATGAAGAACGAATAAAAAAGCAGCAATGACAATTGATTGCACAATGTAAGATAAGGCAGCTCGGGTGAATAGTAAAAAAAAAAACAGAGTTTAACTTGATGTTTGCTCAAGTTAGGATGAAAAATTCATTACACACGGAATTACGTTAACAATGTCAATTGAATAGATTTTCATTTTCGATGAATATGGTAACATCAAAATGCTTATGGTGTGCTTTTTCGCATCAAATTTCGACTTCAAAATATGAGCTAACTGATTGAGAGGGTCGAAGAAATGGATCAAACGTAAATCCGATCGATCAATGGTAAAATCAGCTGATTGAACAGAAAAAAGAGATAAGAGCTTGTTTTCATAAGATTTAGTGGTGTCTTCAGTGTGGAATCCATAAGGTGGATTTCAGCTTTTTTTGTTGTTGAAGGAATTGATGAGTATTCTTCAAGATGGATTATGATGATGTGAAAAAAGAATATTGAACAGGAAACTTAACTAAAGAACAAAATGAAACAATAATACAGTACGATGATATGAACCATTGGCACTTGGGCTGAATAATATGCACGTTGATTTACACAAGAATACGATCGTTATTGTAACATTACAGAATGACTTACATCAATAACGCAGAATGATCAGTGACAAAAATAACTTAATAACAATATTTTTACAGTATCATTTATGTATAACACAATAACGAGTCATGCAATACCAAAATTATAATCTGTTGAATTGGTCCATAGAACCAGTGTCACGAAACGAATGATACGCTCACAACAACATGTTGATTATATGATTACGATGAATGAATATTCGTTTAATGGTTCGATTTCACAGAGAGTCTATTAGACAGAAATTTCGGCAAATTATTGCTCTGATGACATGAATGAATGTTTATGAGAGTAATAAGATTCTTGTAATTTTACTGGTAAGATCACAGTGAGTTCCAATGTGTTATTCATAGAAAACTTCGTGAGGACATTGACTGTACTGACTGGATTCCATTATTCCTGTTAGCTGAGTGATCAGTATGGAGAGATATCATTATGAGCTGAAGCGATCATTCGAACAGTCCATATTTATGTATTGTCACAAATTTGGTAGTGAATTCGGATTGTTTGAGCTGAAAGAAAAAACTTTGGAATTGATAGATTCGAATATTCGCTCGCTTTGAAAGTTAGTCCAAGATACTGCTTTTTTTCAACAAACGGGAATTTGGAAAGTGATCATGATTTTATGGAGGATTGAACTGAGTGATCACGACAAAGTAAGATGATCTACATGAGCGCTTCCATCGGTTGCGCAAAACCAACTAGGATCGAATGAATTTACCTGTACAATGTCTGTTGATAAGGGTATTCGGCCAAGCTGGCTGACGGTTGAGGGGCATACATATTATTATAAACACTGCAATTGTCGATTAGATTTCCGATCCGGAAGGCGCTCGGCGTCAATGCGGGTAGTGTGGATTGCGACAGATCCGTAACACCCGGTACTGCGCCGTTCGAGTACAACCCAAAGGATGAGTATTGACTGGCATAAGGATTTACCTGAATATTGAAAACTCGTCACAAAAAGTAGTTATGTCAATACAAATGGTGCGCTTAGTTAGGATTTGCAGAGGTTGAACTTGAATGTGAGATAAGCTATTGAGTTATTGGTCACAAGAGATAGCAGCACATTGTCAAATCCAAATTTGAGGCAGATGCCTGCCTTCAATGTAATCAAGTGGCTGTGAGTGATAGAAATATGAAGCTAGAAAGATGTTTGATAATAGCAAGGAATGAGACGGCGATTGATAATATT